AGAAAGGTAAGGGGTCGGGGCGGGAGCGGGTGGCGTTCCGGGCGCTGCGCCCTGAGGCCGGGGTACGCCAGGGGCGCCCCGAGGGAGGACGCGTCGTCCTTTCCTCAGGGGCGAGGGCGGAAACGCCCCAGAGACGTTGCCCGGGTCGCACAGCCGCACCAGACGGCCAGGCCGAGGGGCCAGACTTCCTAGTTCTGCGGGAACTAACCCCTTTCCCCGTCTCCGCGCACCTTAGCCCTCCTTTTTGTGTTCTTTCTGCAAACGTTGACGCCACGTCCGGTGCTGGGGGCAGAGGACGTCGAGGTGCATCTGACACCGGCTCTGCCCGAGGGGAGCCTTAGCCGCTGGTAGGGTTGCTGGGGGCGCCGCTCCAGGAAGCCGGCAAAGGGTCCATGGTGACAGGGAATCGCGGGTTTGTTGGGCCCTCAGCACTTTCTGACTTTGCAGTTGCAACAGCCGTCAGACCAGCGCTTCCCACATGCTAGGCCCAGGACCCGGCTGCTTCGCGGTTTCCCATCTAATCCTCACCACAGCCTTCACATGTTTATCGTTTGTTTCCAGGTCTTAGTCTCGGGTTCTAACTTGAAAGCTCCCCAGAGGCAGGATTGTTGGCCTCGTCCCTTTCATCCTCGCCTCCCCTAGCCCAGGAGGTACACATTTGGAGCTTCAAACGCTTTTTAATTGGGAGAATGTGAGCTTTGCTGGGTGGGCGGTTTTAACCAAGCTGGTTGGGCAAGGTGAGCCCAGGGGGTTGGAAAATTAAATGAAGCTACCTTCCCCCTTTTTTGTTTTACTTTGTTTTGTTTACAATAAACATTTACTGAACACCTAAAAGGTATTAGCTTGTCTGCTCAAGAGAAGAATTAGGAAGCCCCGCTTTTGATGGAAAAGTAAATATACTTAACGCTTTGGGCACCAGGAGTCAGTATGCCTGGGTTTGGGAAGGGGAAAGTAGCCCCGTACAGGTGCATAGCAGGCGGCCTCTCTGAGTCCCTTCTTCATCTGTATGGTAGGAATGGCTACTGGGACTGAGTCTGAATAGGCCATCCTATCACCAGCGGTCGGCAGCCTTGGCTACATGTTGAAATCACCTGGGTCCCACTCTGAAATTTCTGAGGTAATTGCAGGTAAGGCCTGGGCATTGGGAGTTGCAAAATTTCCCCAGGTGATTCTGAGGGCAGCCAAGCTTGAGAGCCCTTGTTATATATGACGCCAGGTTAATTTCCTTAATCTTTTCAGTCGTCACTCCCTGCCTAAGACCCTGCACAGGCTCTAAGCCTTCACATCCCAACCCCCCTGACCAGGGGCCAGTCCTTCCTGTACATCTGTGTTTGCTTCAGACATGGGTCGTCTTTTAGGCCAGTCTTCTTACCACGCCCTGTCTCCCTGCCTTACTAGCCTCTCATCCTCCCTAGGAGGGGCTGTGGGCAGATGCCCTGCCCTCTCCAAGCCTCTGTTTCCTTGTCTGTGAAATGAGGGTAGTGGTGCCCTCGTTCATAGCGTATGGCTCATTCAGTTCCTGGCACGTTGTACCTCCCGGTGATGGTTAGCTCTTGTGATTGTACCCACATCCCATGCCTCCCATCACGGCGCTAAGGAAACGTTTCTTAAAGGCTTAGTGCAGGTACTGGAGAAAGCAAACGCTCCTTTCTTCCCTGCTTTGCCTCACAAGTTCAGCACAAGGCAACTCTTCTACAAAACTAGGAAGCTAGAGAGCTTCTGGTTTGTCCTACTGAATTTTTTCAGCTTTAATGAGAGATCATATACCATAAAATTCACCTTTGTAAAATGTACAGTTGAGCGAGTTTACTATGTTCAGTGATGCAGTCATCACCATCACTGCAATCTAATTTTAAAGCTTTTTCATCATCCTCAAAATAAACCCCATAATACCTATGGGCAGTCACTCCCATATCTCCCTTCCCCCAGCACCTGGAAATCACTAATCTACTCTGTGTCTATAGATTTGCATGTCCTGAACATTGCATGTTAATAGAGCCAGCTTGATGTTAGTGCTGTCACGTGTGCAGAGGTAACTCTAGGTGCCGGATTTTGAGGTTTTGTGAAAAACAAGGAGTCTTTTGTGGCAGGAACCTTCTGTCACATACTTGTGTTAGAGTACAGAGTTCTTGCCATCCAGTGTCATAGCTCATTCTTGCCCTTTCTAAGAGTGTAACAGCAATCTGGAAGGGAAACTCCTAAACCAGGCAAATTAATACAGAACTTTCCTTTTTCACTTGTTTAAGAGAATTTAATTGGAAGCTCTTGAAGTGAGCCATGAAACATTTTCTCTTTTAAAAATTTGAAATGTAATATATACAAATCAAATACTAACCAGAGGTTAGTTTAGAAAAGGGAAATGTTTATAGACACCCAAATTGTTCCTGGAAATCCCTAGAGAGTTCCTCACTAGAGACCAACATCTTGCCTCAAAAAAGCCAACACAGCATTAGTTTTAGGATAAACTGCCTTTTCTTCAATTGAACGCTAAATGCAGTACAGATGACCCTTAACGCAGGGGGTCATGGATGCTGATCTTCTGTGCAGGCGAAAATCTGAGTATAATTTATAATTGGCCTTCTGTATCCCTGGTGTTTTCATATCTGAGGTTCCGCATCTGCATATCCAATTAACCGTGGATGGTGTACTGTAGTGTTTACTATTGAAATGCATCTGGGTGTAAGTGGACCTTTGCAGTTCAGTCCCTTGTTGTTCAAGGGTCAGCTGCAGTTGCTTGGGCTGAGTGATGAATTGGCAACTGAAATCTAGTTAAAATGACCTTGGAAGAAAATCTCTTTTTTAAAAAAATGTTTTTAAATGTATTTGTTATTTTTCCATGGAGACACTGGGGGTTGAACCCAGGACCTTGTGCATGCTAATCACACACTCTACCACTGAGCTACACCCTCCCCAGAAAATCTCTTAATTGCCCATTAACATGTGGTATACATAATTTTGTTATGAACGCTATACAGCAAGGTGTGTCTATATATATA